GAGGACCAGATTTAACTTTTTTAGATTATCTAAGTTGTAGCCATTTTTGTATTTTGTGAAGCCACTTGGCTTGAATCTGTTTGACTCCAATCATTAATCGCTTGTAGATGTTTAATAAATGATTACTTTCTGAAAGTTTCATTCAAATCTGTCCAGTAGATATTTTGCTAACAGACAGACAGAACAATAATACATTATTGGATTATGTAAAGCTATATGCATACCTTAATGCATAAAGTTAATATAATCTACATATGAGCCAAAACACAATCATCATATTCAAGCATTTTGGTTTGACACATTTTAAACACTTTAATGCTACGCTCAGGAACAGGTCTCTTTTGTAAAGGAGTCCTCGAGGCTCAGTGAGACTAACCTGTATACTTAAAGGTTGAATGGTGGTTCTCTACTGCAGTGATTTTTGGCCCAAACAATAAAAGTTGTGGACACTCGTGACCCTGCTGTCTTCAGCAGACGTCAAGTCTCTTTGGATTTTTATGTTCCCAGCCCCTGAACCCCTAGACCTGGGAACGTAACATAAGTGGGAGCTCGTCCGATATCATTAGGGGATCTGTGTATTAAGTTTAAAAAACAAAAGAAAAAAATTGGAAGTTCATTCATATTTGAACTCCAGTATAAATCCATCCATTTTGTGACAGTTTCAGACATTAGCTCAAACATCATGAAGACCAAGGATCACACCAGACAGCTCGGGGATAAACTTTAGTGTATTGACGCAGGATGGCTGAATATAAATGGAAGTCACACTTAAGATTCAAGCGTAATAAATATTTTCACAAGGCATTAAATACTTTAAAGGAATTCCTTTTTCATATTTCTATTAATCAAAATATTTCAAACTGAATCTTTTATGCAAAGATCCATGTTTGTTTTGGCCACTAAAAGCCAAAAACTTGCATCTGGACAAGACGATAATCTTATCTCATCTTGTGCAGCCAAACTTTTGCTGGAAAGCTTGTCCGCTATGGACCATGCCAGGTCGACAACGTCCACATTTATCATCCAAATGTTTGTGGAGACGCACGTATTTATCTTCTCAACTGCTTGTATGGATAACCCTTGCTGCTCCAGCCTCTGAAAACATTTATCACACACAAGCTTTTCTAGAAATGCTTCCAGAAACTGATTAAAAAATAAAAAAGTGCTGATCTGGTGTTTTTATCTGCGTGAAAGAAAAGTTTGTTGCATTAGGAGAAACATTTTGATGTAAAGTCGTTTATTAAAACAGGAATAATATAAAAGGATACAAAATTCATTAAAAAAAAAAAAGAATATAAAACAAAATAGCAGCTGATTTTTATATGTATATTTACAGAAAAATTACAATTTACATTACATAAATGTTCATTAAATAACAAAACTAAAAATCTTTACAAAACATACGATTTACCACAAAACTAACATTTGGTGTTTGGCATCACCTTTCTTGATTTTCTTTTGGGTTCACGTGTCGTGAACTGTGCAAGACTATTTCAAATTTGAAATTTAAGTCATTAAAGGGATATTCTGGCCACTTTAGAGTGGGGTTCTGTGAAAACGCCCTAAATAATTATCGACTTATTGGAGCACGATTTGTTCGGAGAAATAAAGATTACGTCCAGCATGGCGGATGAGCTAACGGCTAATCCAAATACAGTCAAAACCAAAGTGGACTGCTGCCGTCGTAAAATGGCTTAAATCTAAGAAAAATAAATTAAACAAACATTCACAGCAGTGTACGCAAACCTTTATATCGTTATAAATTTCCTATTACGCAAGTAATAACAGATTTATGTGGGTATTTGCATGAGCTAATAGCAGTAGCAGCTAGCTTCTGGTGCAGCGAAGACCAAAGGTAAAATCAGATCTTTTAAACTTCACAGTTGTTTGTGCAAATCGTTGACAAATAAAGAAGTGACACCATTAACTTACATTGTCAAAAATTTAATCCAATCTTTTTCTTTTTTTTTTTGGATGATGTGAAGCAACAAAACAACAAAAAAAATAAAGATCTTGTGAAAATGTCCCCATTCATTAACACAGAGGGGTGGGACTTCAAGACTGTACTGTAACCAGCCACGGTGGGGGTGGGGGGGGTCATCCTTTGTGGCTTCAACTTCTGGCCTGGTTTCCATAGTTACATGTGTCAATGGTGCAAACATTGTTTTTAAACCTTTACATTGTCATGGTTGCATTACAGTACTCCCTCGTTACTTCGCGGTTCGACTTTTGTGGGCTCGCTCTTTCGCAGTTTTTCAAAGTAAGATTGTACACGACACACGATTGTCAACTTTAACATTACTCACGTGATTGGGACAGTACGGGATACAGTAAAAAGTTAAAAGAAAAATACTTCAGATAGGCGTCGTCATTTTGTAGTTTTCTCTCTACAACCCTATACTGTTGCGCCAAATACCCAGAAGCCTAAGTTGCTTTCTGCTGAAATGGAGGGAAAGTTTTGATCCGATCCGAAAAAGTTTGGTCCTTATTCATAGCGATTGAGGCGCTCAGTGGATGCAGACGTACGCAACCGATCGGGAATTGGACCAGAACCAGACTTCCAGCCTCCTCGGTCAATCCGAGTGCTGCTTGCCAGCCCACGAGGCCTCTCAAGCGGGAAGCGTTACTTGGAGGTCCGGTGTTTTCTCCGGCGCTCACCAGGACTTTTTTCATCTGGATTTGGACTCTGTCGGGACCACTGTGTGGTTTTGTGCGGGCTATCCGAAGGTTCAACTCTCTCGAAAAGCATCCGGACCAGAACCGGACCAAGGCTGGTGAGTACGGGTTTCTAAAGCCTTAGAATTTTAATGTTACTACTCACTCAACTTAAAATTTCAAGTTGAGTGAAAAAACATGATCAAATTGTCTTGATTAATAAACTCTTGCTAAATAAACTTTTGCTTTAGTTTAGTTGATTTAAATTTATTAGTTGACCGAACTGTTTTAGTCGTTTCAACTCAGAAATCTGTCAATTTAACTGGTGTTAAATAAATAAAAAAAAATACTCAAATAAGTACAGCATTCCTAATTTGCAATTTTTTCACTTAGGCGTCCGGAACGTAACCCCCGCAATAGATCTTGGCAATAGTAAATTCTTGTCGTAAGTATCCGAGGCTGCACCGCGAGCGCTACTGCTGGCTGCTGCTGCCTCCGTTTGCAACTGACCACAGAACTCCATGTGTGGAACAGACCACTAGAACATCTTTGAGGCTGGAGAGGTTTTAAGAGCTTTGGTCTTGGATGCGTTTGGACTAGCCGTTAGCTCATCAGCCCTGTCAGACATCTACAACAGGTAAGATGTTGATTTATTGTTATTTTGCCATACTTTTAAAAGGCAGGGACACCCCTTTAACAATACCAGCTAACTAATTCGCTGCGGGCGCTGAACAATTTTCTGTTTTTAATACATTTCCCTAATTTTCTGTGAAACAAAAGTGAAGGTACATAATCAGTTTTACTCACTGACTTAAAAAAATGGTCAATGTTAGACGAGCTTTGGACTAAAGAGCAGAGGCACAACATGGCTCATTATCAGTGCAGTCAAATCATTGTTTTTTTTAAAAAATATTTTTGTTGCGAGCATCAAATCCCAAATGGGCCCATTTGACTAACCATCCACATTCTCTTACAAAGTTATACGAATAGCAAAGTAAGTTCACATTTTATTCCAACATCTTTAGACGCAGGTTCGTAAAGTTTCCCAGACTTAGAAACCGCAGAGGAAGCATCCCATCAACTTACGAATTCATCTTTTTACCTATTTTTTCTGCACAGTTGAAACAATAAATAGAAATTACTACCAACATTTTAAATATTCCACATAATCAAAAGTGTATCTAACTTAATGAACAATATTCCAGATCTATAAGACCTATAAACTCCTACACTGTAGCAGAAACTAATAAATCTGCAGGTTTGTACATCCAGTCATCTTTCATGTAACCAAAATAAGAATCAAATATTTTACTGACGCCACGCAGCCCACCAGGGGCCACAGCTCCCATCAAACGGAGACCAAACAGCCATGTTATATTTGGCTGCTCTCGCTCATATTAGCATAAGATTTGAAGCGGTCCTACTTAGAGCTTCTCTCAGGGAAACCTGCAATTACAACTGACTGGGGTAAAGGTAGTTCATCTACTGCGAACAATTAAAACAACCAGGTATAATGAAGCTGCGTTATCTAAATACTGGATGAATGTGAAGCCAGGTATTTACCCTACAGGCTGATGGGTGGAGCTTTACAAACTGATTTTCTCACAGGAAAAAAAACAACTTTACAGGCTTGTGTTCTGAAGGATACTTTTAACACTGGAGCAGATAAATCCAGAGCAGGAACCATTTCTCTCTCCAAGATCTCCATTCAAGGTAAAAAAAAATACAAAATTTGTAGACCAGCTAAACAAATTAAAAGAACAAAAGTAAGTCCCAGTCAAAGAGGAAAACTGGTAGCCTCTTTGGAACGGGGTTCAAGTACATTCCAGGAGATAATACTGATTCACAAATGTCTCTTTTGTCGTCTTTGCTTTTAAGGCTTCAGAAGTTCTGAACAAGTCAAAACACCATCCATGTGCCCGAGACTTTGGTTGTAAAAATCGAGTCGATGCAGTTTAGACAGATCTCCTCGTTCTTAAAGCGCTAATATTCCATTTGGTACATCCAGCCTCAACGTGATTTTCCACTTTGGTTAGCTCCCAACTGCAAAGGTCTTTGTTACCTCTTCTTTGGCATGTCCTGCAGCTGCTCTTTAGATGTGCTGCAGCCCAAATCATCACTTCCTCTCCAAGGTAGGATAAAGTTTAAACACTTTGTAAATCCACTCTGAATAGAACGCAACGTTAACAAAAAGGGCGGGCTGCGACGAGGCGCATTTTGTCCTTTGGATGCTCACACCAATGATAACTTTGCGCTCGTGCTCCTGGCAAACCAACGGACCTCCATAGTCTCTCTGCAAGAAAATATTGGGAGATTAGATTCTGGAGCCACGCTTTAAGTACAGCCAACGTCAGCAGCAAGTGCAAAAAATAAGATACTTACATCGCACACACCTTCCCCAATCCTTCCACCAGCACATATCCTGCTGTCCCCTGTGTCCCCCTTTATTTGTGAGCATATGTCGTTGTTGACCATCGGCATGGTCACAGTGTTCAGGGCTTCATCATGACCCGTGTCTGAACAAAAGACAATGCAAAAATATAAATAAATCACCAAAATACTTTCAGTTACATAGTTCTAATTATAAAAAGTGTTTTTGGCTTGTGAGTGGATGAAGGCAGTACTTTTAGTTTCCCCCCATCCGTACATGGTGCAGTTGGTGCCTTCAGCGATGTGACACTCTTTCACGGGAAGATGAATTGTAGAGGCGCCCTCCGACACAGGGGCGGGGCTGGAACAAACAATTCACAGCCATAAAATGAGTCAACACTGCAAAACTGACTCTTTCTTTGCTTTGATTTATGAAAAACATTATAGAACAAACTAGAAAAACCTTAAATCTGTTCCTTTAAAAAGAGAATAATTTTAAAAAGGACACCAACAGTACCGTAATTTCCAGACTAATGAGTGCACCTGAATATAAGCCGCGCCCACTAAATAAAAAAAATTAAAATTTGTACATATATAGGCCGCACTTATGTATAAGCCGTGGGTGTCCACGTTGTAACATGAGATACTACCAGGAAGTCATTGAGTGCTAGCTTCATCTTTCTCCTGCGCACCACATACACTGCACACTGCACCCATGAGCTTGTGCTGTTCTCTTCATCATGTTTCCCCCCTCCCTCGGGGCACAACGGGGAGGGGAGAATGGGAGTTTCCCTCCCTCCCAATTTGGTAAGTTCATTGGTCAGATTTTCTTTTTTTAACCTTTAGTTATACAGGTAGTCTCACTGAGTCACAAGGACCCAACCCCCAAGAGAGACGTGCTTTGAGCAGCTTTGTGAGCACCCGGGTGTGATGAGGCTAAATGTTTTGGCGGCATGAAGCTTGTTAGCCCGTCAAAAATAAAATCTGCAATAATAAATTAGCCACAGCATTGTATGAGCTGCGGTGTTCAAAGTGTGTGAAAAAAGTAGCAGCTTATAGTCCGGAAATTACGGTAGTTGATATGGTAGAACAGTTTGTGCTCTAACACCAAGAACTTGAATTCAGGGAAAACTTTTAAAGCGTTTGGGTACTTACTCTACTAGCTTCAACATAACTAGATTGGATCCCTCTGGGCCGCAGATCAGGTGAGAAATCCGCAATCTTGGACGCCGTGACGACTCGTTAAGGTGACGCAGCCCAGCCTGCACGCTGTAATCCTTCAGATCTGGAACGCTGCATTCGCAACAGTGAGACGCAACTTTCAAAAGTTGAACTAAACAACCAATGAACGAGGGAAGTTAGGAGGCAGAACGCGAGTCTTTTCACCGACAGTGCAGCCTAACTTTCAAACACTAAAGATGTCACTGACTGGCATGCAGTTAGTCACTTATTGTTTCATCAAAATACGGCCTTTAGGTATCTGGAAGGTAAACGTTTGAATAAAACATAAAAAAAAAGACATAAGCATGCTTTAAAGAGATATAAAGAGAATGTAGTTACACAGAAACATGCTTCAGAGGAACATTTACAAAAAGTACCATATGATTGAATATTACCAGGATGTAAAGCACTGCTGGTCTGTCAAAACCCAATCCTCTCTGATCAGAGAGCCACCACACAAATGAACGTTCCTAAAGAAAAGAATAAAGATATTTTCAGTCAGCACCAAGCTTATCATAAATGTAGAATGTATATAAATATAAACATATACAGGTGCTGGTCATAAAATTAGAATATCATAAAAAAGTTGATTTATTTCAGTAATTCCATTCAAAAAGTGAAACTTTCATATTATATTCATTCATTACACACAGACTGATGTATTTCAAATGTTTATTTCTTTTAATGTTTACGATTATAACTGACAACCAATGAAAACCCCAAAATTCAGTATCTCAGAAAAGTTGAATATTACTCAAGACCAATTAAAAAAAAAAAACAGATTTTTAGAAATGTTGGCCAACTGAAAAGTATGAACATGAAAAGTATGAGCATGTACATCACTCAATACTTAGTTGTTGCTCCTTTTGCCTGGATAACTGCAGCAATGTCGCGTGGCATGGAGTTGATCAGTCTGTGGCACTGCTCAGGTGTTGAGAGCCCAGGTTGCTCTGATAGTGGCCTTCAGCTCTTCTGAATAGTTGGGTCTGGTGTATCACATCTTCCTCTTCATAATACCCCGTAGATTTTCTATGGGGTTAAGGTCAGGCAAGTTTGCTGGCCAATTAAGAACAGGGATACCATGGTCCTTAAACCAGATACTGGTAACTTTGGCACTGTGTGCAGCTGCCAAGTCCTGTTGGAAAATGAAATCTGCATCTCCATAAAGTTGGTCAGCAGCAGGAAGCATGAAGTGCTCTAAAACTTCCTGGTAGACGGCTGTGTTGACCTTGGACCTCAGAAAACACAGTGGACCAACACCAGCAGATGACATGGCACCCCAAACCATCACTGACTGTGGAAACTTTACACTGAACGTCAAGCAACATGGATTCTGTGCCTCTCCTCTCTTCCCCCTGACTCTGGGGCCTTGATTTCCAAAGGAAATGCAAAATTTACTTTAATCAGAGAAAATAACTTTAGACCACTCAGCAGCAGTCCAGTCCTTTTTGTCTTTAGCCCAGGCGAGACACTTCTGACGCTCTCTTGTTCAAGAATGGCTTGACATAAGGAATGTGACAGCTGAAACCCATGTCTTGCATACGTCTGTGCATGGTGGTTCTTGAAGCACTGACTCCAGCTGCAGTCCACTCTTTGTGAATCTCCCCCTCATCATACTCTCCAGGGTGTGGTTATCCCTAATGCTTGTACACTTTTTTTCTACCACATCTTTTCCTTCTCTTCACCTCTCTATTATTGTGCTTGGACACAGAGCTCTGTGAACAGCCAGCCTCTTTAGCAATGATCTTTTGTGTCTTTCCTTCCTTGTGCAAGGTGTCAATGGTCGTCTTTTAGACATCTGTCAAGTCAGCATTCTCCCCCATGATTGTGTAGCCTACAGAACTAGACTGAGACCATTTAAAGGCCTTTGCAAGTGTTCTGAGTTAATTAGCTGATTAGCGTGTGGCACCAGGTGTCTTCAATATTAAACCTTTTCACAATATTCTAATATTCTGAGATACTGAATTTGGGGTTTTCAGTTGTCAGTTGTCAGTTATAATCATCAGCATTAAAAGAAATAAACATTTGAAATATATCAGTCTGTGTGTAATGAATGAATATAATATACAAGTTTCACTTTTTGAATGGGATTACTGAAATAAAATCAACTTTTTCATTATCTTCTAATTTTATGACCAGCACCTGTATAGCAATATTTTATAACAAAAAGAGATAACTTACTCCCTTTGGATGCTTACAACCCAGCTGCCATCAGTACCTCGTACCTGATGTCCTCCAACTATTCTGGTGTTTATATGCACAAAGCAGGATATCTTGGGCCTGGCTGGATCTAAGAAAAGAAGACATTTTGATAAACCACGTACAACATTTGGGCAATTCAATGATAAAAATGTGGATTTTTAACTTCAAAAGCCAACTATAAAAATGATGTTAGCCAAGTATAGGCAACAGAAGGATATAAAGAGTAAAAAGGAAAAGGGAGGAGATCAGAGATAGCAAGACAAGAAGGAGGACTGGTCTGGGAAACGCCAGATGAGTAAAACGGATACTTACGGTTTGGTTGGGGAGTTGTTGTTGCTGATTCACCTGATAAAGATAAATCAAGGCACAATCATTAGAATAGGCCTCACATCAGCAGGAAATTGACCGACACACAAAAACGAACCCCTGGAGCCAACAACATGTTTTAGACTTTGTAAAGGACTTTGATTCTGAATAATTCAAGGCTCTGACAGCAGCCACTGCAGATAAATTTGCTCAAGCCCTAAGAACTTCATTCGGGACATGTTTTGCATTACAGAAATCATTATGCAGCCATTCATAAGAGGCTCTTCAGTGTAGTAAGATTGTAAACAGCCAAAAAAAATGTTGAGTGCAGCAGGCAGCATATTTTTTCCCCCCGCAAATATAATACTGGCAGCAGAATCCCGCATCTGTTTGCCGTTTGAGTATTGTGTATTATCTGCCAATTGAACAAAACCACAGCTAACAGATCACATAAGCCACCAAGCAAGATGTGGAAAAGAACTGTTTTTGTCGTACTTCTCTGAGGTCATTGAAGGCTGTAAAGCTAAACTGTTTTATTCTTGTTCCATGCCCATACATAAACACCAGTACAGTCTTTTAGTCAGTCCCATTTAAATGGTCTGAACAGAATAAAACAGCTTATGAAATACTACTTTCCAAATGTCAGATAAAAAATTAAACATAACTAAAAATAACTATAAAGCAAGAGAGGATGAATGCTCTTTCAATTAACTTATTAGCCTAGCTTAGCATAAAAACAGATTGCATAAGGATAGACGGCATAAAGACAGGAACAAAGGAAAAAAGCCAGCTCGGCTTCATCTATGGCAACAAAATGTGTTTAACACCACCTGGAAGGGTGGCTAACTATTAGTACTAATCACCAACACTTGTACATATATTTAAAGTTTAACTTCCAGTTACCTTACATTAGCATAAAGACATAAAATATCATTATAAAGTTAGCTCAGTTCTGTCTCTGGCAACAAAATATGTCTAACATCTGTAACGCTTGCAAATAATTATGCCACTGTGAGCTTGGAGAGCCTGGATACATGTTTTTTTTTACAGCTGTTGATGTTTGAGCTTGCTGCACATTTACTGACCACCTGAAAGCTCAACAGCAGGTGCATAATTCATAGTACCTTTACTTTTGCAAACACAAACACAGCCAATATCTACTTCCAGATATGGATTTTACAGGGTAAATATTATTTCAGTCACTCACATTGCTTCAGTTTGCAGTAGTCCCAGACCAGGCGGTTATTTGGACTCGTGTAGCACCAGGGGCCGTGTTTGTCTCGATCTGGGTTCCGGCAGTAGTTTATTTCCAGCCCTACATGGGATACTGTAGAGTGAGAATCCTCACTGTAAAACACACAAATACAGATTCTCATATTCCATTTGTTATTGTGTGCACCGTTTTAGAACTTAAACATTTAACACTCTGAAAACAACCAAGTGTGTGCACTGAGTGGCACACGCAGTGCCTTCACAATTTAAGTAATGATAATATATGTGCAAAGTTGGACTCTGGCTATCCTATGGTGCAATGAATCCTGTGCAGTAGCTGCACAGAGCACACAGAAGAAAACAGAGTTTTCAGAAGAGTGCTCAGGGGAGTACAAAAGTATGCAGTCTAAGCATTCAGCCGGGCTCAGACCAACAGGAGCCACATCCTCCATGGAACAATTTGGTTGTGCTCTCGATTGGTAGGAATTCACATCTAATCGTGTGTCCTGCAACTTGGCTGTACAAGAATTAAATGTAATCTTCTCAAATATCCAAAATATCCCTGAAAAGTAATTACTGGGTAGGAGTTTGGACACACAGGCGCAAAAATCACGCCAAGCGAGGGGCAACAATTTGTCAGGGGGTGAAGATAATTCCACTTCCCAGGAGAATGTTAAACAAGCTGTAGCTCTCGGCAGTTTTCCCTGGGATGACCCTTAACCTTGAGCAGGGTAGACTCGCTGGCTGCAGTCTATGCGAGGGAGCTGATTGGCTTTGATCTGCTCTCCTCAGAAAGCACTTCCTGGGGTCAGGGGTCATCTCTGTAACATGTCCATCTGTCTGTGCAATTCTGGCTTTTAAAATTCTTATAAATTAACTAAATCCAACAGCCTGAATTCAGCATAAAGTAACAGCTTTAGAGTGGGCAACTTCACTGTCAGGGTGGGTCACTTAGAAAACACCCAAGGGTTCCCTCTCATCGGATGAATAATAAGTGGGCCTGGTGTTGACCCCTGAGGAACCCCTGATTTCCTTTCACCGTTTGTTTTCACAGCTTAGCTTCATCAGTATAAAAGCATTGTTTATGAGGCAATGGAAGCTAAACTGTCAACAAGCATCTACTGAGCTAAAAAAAAGAAGTAATTCTCTCCAGAAAAACAAAGCTTCAGGGTTTTGAAGTGCACTTTACTTTGTTACCTGTTTATGTGATGTGACCAGTTTGCACAGGGAATCCCTGATCGAGTTATGGACAATGAGCCCCAGTACGTCTCTCCAATGTCTTCGTAACACTCTGGGGAAAAAGTGGAAAAAAGTTATTGTAGAAAATCTTACAGGTGCCACAGATAACTGGGCCAGCAGTTCCTCAAAACACCCGAATTCTTTCAGTTAGTAGGCATGCTTAAAAACACGTTTATGCACTTGCAGAAACAAACTAAAAATGTGTGTCAGTGTTTTCCTTGTGGTTTGAATCAACTGAGTCGATGACACTTTGTGTAAAGGTTGGCTCTAAAATGTAATGAACATTTAAACTTCAGTATGTTCATTCTTAAACTGTACAAACAGACGGCCTGCAGTAACAGACATGTGTGGTCTTCTGAAATGTAAAGCAAAGAAACATGGGAATTGACAGTGAGCACAGTTGCCAAAGCCTTTTGTGTTTTTGTGGAATGCATTGGGCAGCTCACTGCCAAGTGGTTCAGTCCTGTGAGAGCAATATAGAAAATGTCTGTGTAATTGCACTTTGCAAAGGCATGACATGTCTTTGCAAACATCTGCGCTTCAGTATTTGAATTGTGCTTTGCAAGACACAATGTAGTAATTCCTAAACTGTTTACAAGAGGTTTTTTTTTTTTTTTTTACTCGACACTGCTGCTCTTAAAAATAGTCCCATTTGTGACATTTTGGGATTTTTTTTTTTTTTTTTTAATTTAAGGGTTTAAATAGAAAACTGCCACTACTTTGGAATAAACGATCCTAAAGGGAAACCGCTAACTTCAAATGAAACCTTGTTAGCTAAGTCTACGTTTGTATATCTAGAACATACACGTGCGAACGTTTATGAAGCATTCACACTATTGTGATCCATTTTACTGTTTTTCAGCATCTTTCTCGTTCCACAGTTTTTGTGCTATTTCAACAAATCATATATCAAAATGTTCAGCTCATTCAGGAGAGGGGTGCTGTGACTTTTGTTATTAGTGCAACTTTAGCTTTTTGAAATATTTAGCCTTTTCTGCCACTTTTTTCCTCATAGGAAATAAATTGAGCTCATTTTTTGCATCATTCAAATCTTTAGATCTGTTTAAAACCTTTTACTGCTCCTTTCATATTTTGTTCTGGTCCAGCTTCTTTCAGCTTCCTTGTGCAAATGTAAAAAAAAAAAAATTCAGCTACTTTCAGCCGTTCTTTCAGCTGTTGTGTGTGCCCTTCAGATTCTTTCCGCTAACTACATTTTTGTGCTTCTAACTTCTTTCTGCTAATTTCAGCTTGTTATGCTCCTTTCAGCTTATTTCTGCTAGTTTAAGCTTTTTTGGCTAATTCAGCTTCTATTTAGCTGTTTTTATGCCATTTTCAGCTAAATCCACCTTTTTGCACTCATTTCAAAATTTTTTTCAGCCTAATTCAGCAAAAATGTGCTCTCTCCACTTCCTTCTGGTAATTTAAGCTTTTTTCTGCCTTTTTAACTACTATTTGGCTGTTTTATGCAAATCTCTGCATTTTTCAGGTAATTTCTACTATTTTGTGCTCATTTCTTCTTCTGTCAGTCTAACTGGGCACAACTGTGCTCTGTTCTCTCCAATTTTTTCTGGTATTTTAAACTTCTTTCAGCTAATTTTCAGCCTTTTTTAAAAAATAATTTCAGCTTTTTTTAGGCAATTTACTATTTTTTGTGCTCATTTCTGCTTATTTAAACCAAATTCAGCAAATGTGCGTTTTTTTCTGCTTGCTTCTGCCAACTTAGGCTTGTTCTTCCATTTTAGCTACATTTCAGCAAGTTTTTTGCTACTTTCAGCTGTTTTCAGCAAAAAACATTTACACTGCATTTTCACAGGAAATGCAATTTATCTAGTTTTTACTTGATGCACCCATGCTAAAAACAGTATACAAAAAAAGGATGATTTTTCAGAAGAACTGTTGCTGTTCATCTTTCAGAAAAAGGGTTAAAACCACAGAGACTGGACTCTACTAACCTGTGGTCAGATTATACTTGTACCTTATACCAGTGATCACCCAACAAAGGTTAAAACAAAAAGCAAGTGGTGTCTTAATTTGCAAGATACATTATACTGTAAATATCTCAAAGTTACTCAAAAGAAACAAATTTCACAACAGATAAATGACAAAGTGCATGACAAGAGTTTAAGAAAAAAGTCCTGACCCTAATTTAAAATAAACCCATAAAAATCCATACGATGACGCTGTAATGTCTCAAAACACATTTTTCACTTTTTCAAACTGTAGGACTTAAAGGTTTTTCCAAGAATATTCAGAATATCCTTTCATCTTACTTTTTTTTTATTGATCGTCTTTATTTTTAGAATTTTTTATCATATATTTAGGCAAAAATGTAAAATTAAAGTGCTCCCAAACCTGCAAGCACCAAGTACTTGCTTATTATTCATAAATATTTTTAGGCATGTGCTATAAAATATTTGACTGAAAATTAAGTTTTAGAGCTTTTTACCTATTTTTTGTGTGTCCTCTGCATCACATCTGGAGATATGAGTGCACTTGGCGATCCTCAAATTAGGGTCTGTGGTGAAGCACCATGGGTAATCTGCACCATCAGGGTTGCGGCAGTAATTCTCCTGGAGGTCTCTATAACACACACACAAGCTACAATTTAAATGATAAGCCTGATGGCTGTATTGTTTGCAAACAAACCTATTCAGTGTCATTACTTCCCCTTTATTGATTGTAAAATGCACAGAACAAACAAATAGTCTCCAAGTCGTGTCTGTAGCTACATAACAAGCATCACTCACTTGCACTTGAAGTTCTGAGGAAGAAAAGAGTGGTTATGGGGAAACTGGGAGTCCCAGCGCTGACATGTCACACCCTCTGGAGTCACATTCATCGTTCCTCTGTAATTTGTGCCCTCTCCTTGGACGCAGGACATTGTTGCGTTGACATCAAAGTCCTCACTGGTGTCAGAGTCTGCAAGGAGGCGGGGGGATATTGTTATTGAAGCAGAAGCATGAGAAGGAAGTCGCTAGCAAATATTGAATGAAGGAATGAGGGAGGGAGAGAAGGAGGGAGATGATAATCCTCAAAAGAATGTGTCATGTTTAACCTAGACAGATGATCAAAAACAGTAGCTCTCCACCCACTGTGCTGCTAAGGCGATAGGAAACTCTGTGTACTCATAACACCGGTGCACGCATTCTTGCACAAAAGGGATTTCCACAAGTTATTTAACTTGCCTACAACAAAAGGGTTAGATTAAAAAGGAAATAAAAGACTAGCATTTCTTAAAGGAATGCAAACCACACACCATCTTTCACACCAAAGTTGAAAACGAAGATCATTGTATGATGAAAAGGAAGGGAGTGCAGTAGTCCCTCGTTTATCGTGGGGGATCCGTACCCAAAAACCCCGCGATAAGTGAAAAACTGCGAATTAGGAATAGTAATACTAATA